GGAGTGGTGACAACAGCCAGTCTTTTGTTAAGAATCATGCTGATTATGATTTTAATGCTCATTTTAACCTATGCTGCTTTACATAAAATGTACTTACTATTTACTGAACTTCTAGACTGAGCAAGTATGTGACAAAATGAGACTTACTTTTCTTCTTCCATATATTTCCAGTTATTATAAGTGTAAAATATTTTAATGCTACTTGATAAATTTCATAATATTTATTTTATTCTCAGATGTATTAATAATTATGTTAATTAAGCTATGTTTAATAATAATGCATCCTACTTACGAATCTCTTTTATTTTTAGGATAGTAGTAAAAAGTGAAGTTCAGGCATAGATATCATATTTTTAATTGAATTTATTCAGTTCCCATTTGCTCATAGGTCCTCAAATTTTTTTTCATTAATGGTCCGTAAAAGTACTTTAATTCCCTTGTGCAGAAATGTGTACGAACCCTGTGTTTAATAGCTACCTAAAATTTACAAATTCACTTTCTCCCATCCACATATATGATACAAATTACCCCGTTTATGTTATCAACACTCGGCATGTGTTAGTTCACACAAGAGCACAATGTAGAGGCACAAAGTAACCAACACTTGCAATTTTAATATTTACTTTTACACAAATTAAATAAACATTGGCTCTTTTAATATCTTGCACACATTATTTAAAAAAAAAAAAAATGTGTTCTGACACACTGTATGAAAATCCATTTCGTTTCATCATTCGGCGTAACCAGCCTTCACTCACCTTGAATTGCGATGTAGGAATGTCTTCTTCTCGTTCCGCAGCAAGCACTCTTATTTAGCACATTTATTATGTTACTGCATACCCTTGAGCATGTATATCATGCACATATGAAACTACTTTTTTTTCCCTACGTTCGGAAATTTACATTTCAAATCACGAAACACAAGTCTTGTTTTGTTCTTTTTCACCAGTTGATCACGCTCTTTTCTCCAACTGCGCACACACTTTTCGTCCACCTTATATATTCTTGCTGCTGTTCTTTTTCCATTTTCTTCAAATTCTGTGACTTTTAGTTTAAAAGCCGCTGTATAGCTGCTGTATTTTCCCATTTCAAGCATGCTACTTGCTAACTACCATGAATTTCAAATGATACTATGAATGAAAAGATAAAGCTTGAAATATGCTCCAAGGAGGAAGGAGGGGAAATTAATTTCATTACAAAACAGTATTTCGTCCTGAAAGCCGGTGTGGTGAAACCTCTTTGGACTGCCTGTTCATTTATTATCGTGTATGGATTGCTGGCATCCATTATCACTGAATGACAGCTGCACTAGAATGCAAGGAAAGTCTGTGCTTTCAATCCTGGTGCCAACAAAGACAAAACAAATGCATATTCTTCCTTTAAAGATGTTTATTGACTAATGTTGCTGACTAAAGGGAAAAAGGCAATGTTAAAATTTTTTTTTTTTTTTTTTTAAAGAAAAAAATTCTGTAGTTTTTGGAGTGCGGGTCAGTCTTTTTTTTACATAAATGTTATCAGTAAAGTTGGGTTGCGGCCATTCCATGAACGTGGACATTACACAAGTGTATATGGTATTAAATATTGAAGAATCTGCATGTATATAAGTAAAATATAAAATATGAAACAACTTAATTGGAATCAATTGGCAGTAGACCTATAAATTCATAAATTTTTATTAAGTGATTCCCTATTTCAAAGATACGATTTGCACCATTTTGCGTCACTCTGTAGCATGTTATGTCATTCTTTCCCTGCAATTTCTGTACACTCTGAAATCTTTAGCCCAATTCCTGCTCAGGATTAACACAAAGACTTTCTGGCTATAAATATGATTGCTATTAGTATGGATTGCTTTTCTCACCTGCTCTTGCTTGAGTAAACCACGTCTCTCATTTTGCCTTCTTTCTTGTCTAAAATGTAAACTGCGTATATTGAAATTGTGGGGTGCGTTTACCATCCCAAGTGTGGTATCAATTTAAACAAAAATGTATCTGTGAATAATTCTTCTTATTCAAAGTAAAAACTCTTTTAACCATCAAGCCAGTTGTGATTTTTATAGCGGTCATGATCTACAGAAAAGTCTTCTTTCCCATGACTAAAGTGAATTGGTTTAATGTTTGAAATTTGTTTATTTATCTTTGAATTTTAATCAACAAAGATGTTGATTTAAAAGAAATCCACTACCCGAAATAAAATATTTTTATCTTCCAAGTGCTAGTATGCTGCCATTTGATAAAGCAGAAGCAATTTTTTTTTTCAAATTTAATTTGTCAGTCAATAATTAACAAACTAAGTTATTTAAAAGCATTTCTTCATCTCGTATTATTAATTAGTAGTTGAATGTTTGAAATTACATTAACTAAAATCAGTATTTATTAATGTAGTGAAATATCTGATTCGGGCATTATTTATTCTCTGATCTCTCTGACTCTGACATTATTTAATGAACCCTCTAACTGCTCAACTTTTTAAAAATCAAAATCGTTTCAAGAATTGAGTATTTTTTATTACAGATTTCAAATCTACCTGTATTTTCAACAAGATTTAGCTGCATGTGTGAAATAAGGTAGAAGTCTGTAGGAGCGATGTTCAAGCTAAATGGTGGGTATGGCAGAAGATCCCATTCGAGTCCATACAGAGTTCAGCTGCTAAATGCAGACACATGTGGTCTTGCATTATCTTGATGGAACATGACCTTTTTGCACCAAACTTCAGTTCAACATTTTCCCCTGATAGCAGAGTCAACATGGACTATCATCTCACTGTACACCTTACCCTCAAGAGTTTTTACGCATTTCAGCTATTCTTTGTGGGTAATACCATGGCAACCGCACCAGATTTTTTTATTAGTCAAACTGAACTTTGCAACTTTGCTGATGGCCTCACTGGGTGCAGACCAAACTCTTTTCGGCCTGTGTTGATGAAGTAAATCCACTTCTCATCACGTGATGATCTGGTCCAGAATTTTGTCCTTGTGTTAATATCTGTACAGATTAGTGGAGGCACGAACACATCTCTCCTTATCTGCTCGTGCAGCACCCAGCAATTGAAGTTATATGTCAAGTTTATGCGATGCATTGTCTGACTAATGAACATGGCACTAATGTCTAACTCTTCAGCAAGCTTTGAGTGGTTGCATACTGATCTTGCAAAACTTCCACAAGTTCTTGCAGGTGGAGCTCATCACCATCAGTTAGCAGACCACAGCACTCTGTTCTTGAATGTCATAGTCCTTGTTTAACTTTTGGTACTTAAACTTTATAATGTCATATGATACAGCATTAGTGCCTAAAGCTGTGCGCATGATTTGGTGACATTCTGTAACTGACTTTTTGCAACAGAGCTGCATATAAATGATGGTTCTAATCTGGTAGTGGGATAGTTCCATTTCAGACACTTTGTACACAATAATAATGATATTTTTTTACATATTTCACAACACAGTGTTATAAAGCAAGTCTCTCTCTTTCAAATGCCAAAAATCATTAGACAAAATATGATTAACCATACCAATACAAACTATTTGCTTTAAGGGTCAAATAATGCTTAAATCCCAGATGCAAAGGTGTAGCTTGTTAATTCAGTAATAAAATAAACCTTCCCCCTCCAAAAAAATCTTAAGGGTTTTTTTTTTTTTTTTTTTTTTTTTAAAGGGAACCAAACATTCAGAATAAAGACTTAATGTCATCATGTCTAGCATCAGGATTCATGAATGAATATGGAAAAATATTCAGGCACATCTCAAAACTTTGAAAGACTCATTTGAACTTTGGTAGTCAGATGAAATCAAAATAATTGAGTGTTTATTGCAAACAAAAAACTGTCCAATTTAATGGAATACAAGGTCCTCAGAGATTTGACATCTCACCACAAACTAAGAATTTTGTATCAAACTAATATCTGCCACAGTTTTGGCTGCATACAGGAGGAATGCAGATCTTGTCTGAGAAAGTAAAATTAATGCTGCTACCTTTCTCAACTGTAAATCCTAATAAATCAAGATCAGCATATAAAAGTACCAAAACAACATACAGAATCTGTGTCAATGCAGAACAAGCCATTTATCTGTGATTGTCAGTGGTAAACCTAAAATAAAACTGCACAAAAAAGCAACCATGGGTTTCTCATTAAAGCTTTTGCATATTGTTATGTTTTAATTTTGGCTTAGAGCACATTATAATTTCAGAACAGTAAAATTAAATGGTAATTGTCATCTGTAAAGCGTTAAAAAATTTCATTTAACAAGTAATGAATGAATATAAATTTTAATTGAACTGCATGTAATGATTAACTTACTTGAACCAAATTTAAAATGACCTTAAATGCTGTCAGCAATAGTGTAAATTATCTGTTCTGACACATATTAGTTTGATTTATCAACCTTTGAAAGAACCTTTACTTTGTCAATATCACATTGAGAATAAATTAAGATATTTTGGTAATTTTTAAAAATTTAAAATATAATTTCCTTTGATGGATGTTACACAACTATTTAGGTATCTTCTTTCTTTAAATTCCTTTACTGTCTGTATCTTTTTCTATCCCTGTAATACTTTTCTTTAACATCATTAACTTGTAAGACATGGGATAAGCCTAAGGAGACTCTATAAGAGCAGTTAATTCTGAAAATGGCTTTATGAGTCAAAATGTTTGAGAATCGCTGATGTAAATATTGCTTTACATAGAGGTATGCATTATTTGATGTGGTAAAAGCTTAAGAACTTAGAAATATAAAAATAAAAATTCAATGACATCTGGAAAATTTGCTGTTATGTAATAGCTGTATTAAAACTTGAGATTTTAATCAGTTTTTATTATTATTATTATTATTATTAAATGCAAAGTTTTATGTTTCTGTAATAAGACGGAAAAGCTCTGGATATGTTATTTAAACTTTATTATTTACGTATTGTGAAACCACATTTTGAAAATTTTGCATAAAGAAGCTTCGTAAATTTCAACATTCTAACTTTGCTGTAATTTTTTGCTTCGTTTTTCAGGTAAACAGCATGTGGAACCTCAATACATGCCCCCAGAACCTCTACGTGCGAATGTGAATATCTCTGCAATTATCAGTCATGTAGAAAGTCCTTCACATTTTTATGTTCAACAGGTAAAACATGTTTAGGAAATATGCTTATTAAACTTTGTAAACATTCAATTTAAGGTATTTTGCTGAAAATTATTGTTTTTTAAATTTTAATAGTCATTTGTTCTTTTATAAATTTTAGATGTCTACAGCATCTTATTTATCATCATTAATTTTTGAAATGAATGAAGTTTATAATAATCAATTGAATCCTATTTTATTTGGAATTTTTGCTCCTCGTATTGGTAAGTGTCTTATACGTTAAAAATCTAATGAAATTATTTTTGTTACTGCTGTTTAAATTGTTTTAAGACTTCAGGGATTAAAAATGTGCATGTTATAATATCAAGGTATTTTAGTGTGAAGTGTCTTTAAACGTGCATTTTCTAACCAACTTTAATGCATATTTTAAAATAGGCATGATTTCTTAAATTGTGTTTTGGATGCAAACATTTTTAAATTTCTACTTATTAGAATAAATTGATCAATCTATGGCTGATTCTTTAACTTTTAAAATTTTTAAAAAATTATAAAGCATTGCGCATTCAAAAATATATTTACTTATTTATTTATTTTTTATTTTGGAATCTAAAACTGTAAGAAACTCCATTCTCAGAGAATCCCATTCACAGAATAAAATTTTCAGTAATTGAGTGTGTCTTCCTTATTTCATGTATGTAAAATGTATATAAGGTATTATTAACTTTATTCTAAGACATTTTGTCAGAAATTTTGGTCTTAAACTTTTGAGTATGGAGCAGTATTACACTGATTGTTTTGTATGATTAGGACTCTACTAATATGATATATATTGAGGGCAGAAATTTTTTTCACATAACATAACTTACATCAGTTGGAGCATTTGCATATAGCCTGCAGTATATATCAGCTAGTATCTTCAGAATCTCTCTTCTATTCTTTAATAATCTAGAAGGTTTCATTGTAATTTGTTCATGCCTTGCATGGCTGTATTTGAAGTTTTAAATAAAAAAATAATAATAATATTTATGCTTCTTAAATTTATGGCAATGCTTATTTTTGAATACTTAGTATAAATATAAATTAAAAATATTAAAAGTGATTTAACATATATATTTGTTGCTAGTTTTGTAGTTAGAATTATTTAGATTTATAATAAAAATTCTGTAGGGACAATAGGAGAAAATTATTGTCACAGAGATTATATTTATTATATTTTCTCAGGTTGTATATTAGAAAAATAAAATTAAGAAAAAATGCTTTCTATAAAAGCAATAAAATAATAATTAAGAATGATTCATTTAATTTGAAATAACATGTTTAAAAAAATGCTTGAATATGATTTGACTTAAAATCATTTATATCAGTACAAATTGCAGTGCATCTGGAGTATTTGTTTACAAGTTATAATGCAGTTTCTATGTCACGATTTAATACATTTAGTATTGGAAGATTGTAAAAGTCATTAGGTTTTTTTTTTATGCTGGAAACATGAAAAATGTGCAGTGCTGTTCCTGGGATTCAAACCTGGACCTCTTGAATATGTGCTGAGTGTGCTCATGAAGGCATGCAGAAAGAAGGGAGAAAATACCTTATATACTCCCCCTTTAAAGGGCAACTAGGGATTAGGGGACCCAATTGCCAAATCCTTCATCCACCACCCTTTAGTTCGGGCACCACTGAAGAGTCATTAGGTTATTTTAAAGCAGGAGTACCTGAAAAATTAGCAATGCCCTCACCGGGACTCGAAGCTGGACTTCTTGAATACACACAGAGTGTGATACCATTATACCACGAAAGCATGCAGAAGGGAGGGAGAAAATATAAGGTCTTTAGCAGACACATCTGCTAGTAAATATAAATACCCCTTTTTTTCAAAATATTTTTATAGTAATATCTGCTTTCAAATTGTAGAATTCCATTTAATGTTTATAATTGCACATTTCCAAAACAAGTATGAAATTGCTGGTTCTATTAATTAAATTAATTAAATCAATTCTGGGAAATTCTGCTCAAACTGTGTAATATAGCAGTAACTATATTTTAAAATTGTTGCATTTAGTCAGAATGCTATGTACAGATTCTAAGAAGTTAACTCTTTTTTAAATTCGATATTAACTTTAGGTGTTTATTTCAGAAGAGTTATAAATCCTCCCCTTTGAAAGATAGTTATAAAAATGTTGAATGCTTATATACTATAACAGTAACCTTCAGTTTTCTGTCTGTGTATCAATCTTTATAGAAGTAATGTATCTTTTAATAATAAATTTTGATATTATTGTTATTAGCTTCCTTTCTATTTGTAAATTGATAATATGTCCTTTCAGTACACAATTGTTCTTTTAATCATGTATCTGTGTTTTTGATAGGTATGATATGTGCTGCTCAGTTTAGTTTAGACCATCAGTGGTATCGTGCTCAAGTGATAGGTTTACCTGGTGGAGCAAAGGTAAAAGTAAGATATGTAGATTTTGGGAACACTGAAGTTATTCACCACAAGTTTCTCCGGAAACTTCTGAACAAATTTAGTAAACTTAATATTCAAGCAATACCTTGTAAATTAGCTGATGTGACGTATAATCAAGAAAAAGCATGGAGTCAACAAGTATGTTACCCATTTGTCATTTAAAGTTTTTTTCCATTTTCACATTATGGTAACAACTATATTTTTAAAAATTAGAATGTCGTGAAAGTACTTGTGTTACCTATTAGTATGTACATAAATAAATGTATGTATATGTAGGATAAAAAATATGCGAGATGAAACAATAACTTTAATTTATAGTAGTTGCTTAATTTTGCAATTTAACTTTGTAATTGCTTTTTATCCAAAAAAATAGTAATATTCTTATAATAAATCATGAACTGTATCATTTCAAAATTTATCTATATCCTATGATTCTTACACAGTGCTATTTATGGAGGCACATACTTAACATTTCAGCCAATAAAAATTTCAGAAACTTAAAATTAATCAATCAAAATAATGCTAAACCAAAGTCAGATTATTCTGAATCAGGCTTTCATCTTTAACACGTCACATTCCCTCAGTGCTGCTGATTTTCTAATGCTTGCTGCTTCAAATGTTTTTCTAAAATCTATAAGGTGATGATGTTAATTTAAAAATATATAAGCTGTTGATAAGGCATTGATGAAGTTCTTCAGGAACAGGTATGCTTTTTGCGCTATTTTACCTGCATATGTCAACAGTAAAAGAAATATTTAATGGCTTTCAATGACTATTACTATCTACATGCATTAACTTTTAAATTGTTGTACAGTCAAAAGTCTTTAATCCGGACGTCCATAATCAGGAACTCAAAGCTACAAACATTCTGCGCATGCGTAAATGCATAATACCTTTATGCATGCACATGTGTGTTTATGCATGCGCATAGTACCTTTACGCATGTGCGTTTAATGTATAATGAACGGTATAAGCTAAGCTAAAATTATCTAATTATCTATTTCAGTTAATGTTGTAGATTGCGTTGTTCCTTAATCTTTGATTTCAGTCGAGCTTATTATTTTTTTTGCAGACTGTTAGAGCAATTTTATAAAAGTAAGCTTGAACTTTCGATTATGTCAAAAAGAATTTCCGATTCTGGAGCTGCCAAAGGATCTACAAAGCGAAAGCATGTTTCGATGTCCATCAAACAAAAAGTGAAATTGCTGCGAAAAAATGGATAAAGGCATATCCTTTGTTTCTCTAACCATTTCGAAATCTGTTTATCAATTTCACGCTGCTCTGCCGGGGGGGGGGGACGTCGCGGCGCGCAATGAACTGGAAGTTGATCTGTCAGCACTATCCTTATCTTCAGGGCAGATGTTTTTATTTTATCCGGCTTATAATGCCTTATTAAATGTAGTATTTCATCTCGATGTACTCCGTCTTTGATATGATTTAAATCAAATTCCTCGTCATTTTAAATATCACGAATACACATCAAATAGTTTTCTGGTTGCAATTTTCTAATTTCGACTATGCGTAATGTATGCTTTATGCATGCGCACGTTGAAAGAAATGTTTAATAAAGTAAACAAAAAAATATTAAGCTTTTTTTCTTGTAAATTTTGATACCCTTTAGATCATAATTGCTCTTTATTTCATAAATTTTTAATTTTATAATTTCTGCATGCCATTTTACCAGATTTAAATTGATGATCTATAATCCAGAAAAACCGATAATCCGGAATCGCCTGACAAGTCCGGATTAAAGACTTTTGACTGTATATATATATGCAGATAAACAGACACTTGATTTTCTTCTTTCTCTGATTCCTTAGTCACAAGTTGTTATAAAAGTTTCAATAACTCTATGGCTGCTAGATTTTTTTAAATCAAAATCGCTTCAAGACTTGAATTTTTTTTTTATTACAAATTTAAATCTGCTTGCATTCGAGTGTTAAAATATGTAGCACATTTTTGTAAACAAGATTTTTTTTAAAAGTAGGTTTTGTATACAAGGACGGGCTTTTATAAAAACCATTTTTAAGAGTAATCATATGAGGACAAAAATTCTGAAAATTAACCCTGATTAAATTTTGATTTACTTTATAGAATAATAATTTTCTAAAACCCATTAAAATACAAATGCAAATGTAAACTATGTATATTAATAAATGTATTTTATATTTCAAAAATTACACGAGAAATTAAGTTTAGTGTGGTAAATTTCAAAGCAAGGCTCCAACCCAAAGTCATATTTTATATTCTTTGAATTAAATTTTTTTTTCTTGGCTAATTTTCTTGGCAGTTGTAGTTTTTAGGAACAAACAGCACATGAGGCATTTTTATTATAGGATTATGAAGTATGTGGCTTGCAAAATGACAAGCTGTCAATCTTAAAGTGCTAAGAGTTAAACTAGTCTTCCAGGTATATCACATATACCATGTAACTCCATATATAAATATGAAATTTTAGGTGACAATACCATTTGTTGATCAAAACATGATTCTGTTTAAATATTATAGTAAATGCCTTATCGACAATTAAACCCAGAAAAATGGATACATTTTTAAATGAAGGGAAAAGGTGCACACCTGTGAAAAATCATGGACTAAGCTAATTGTGTTACTTTCATATTGCCTGTGAAAATCATGGAATAAGCAGTCAGGGGGATAAAACCATTATTTCCTGCAAGAGCAGCAATTATGTTTATTTCATGCAGCAGCCATAATGGTAGCCAGCTGCAATGCTGTGGGTATGAATCCCTGAGACAAAATTTATATAGTACCTTTGCTATGTTGGGGCACTTAAAATACTGTTGAACCAACAGCCCTTTTTAGATGCTTGGTGGTAGAGTAAACCTCAAATCCATTTTTTGGGCTGTTTTCCATTAAAATTAGGATGGAGCTTTCTCTTTTTCATAGATATAATTCAATTGCCTGATGTGGTGCACGTTGGGTAATATTTTTGGCAGTGAGACTGCAACATGGTTTATGAGTTTTGGCCATTTTTGAAGAATGCATTAAATCGTAAGTGTCTAGCCATTTGAAACAGCATATATTTCTTGGAAAGTATTATGCTACAGTGAAATTTTCTACTTCTAAAAGGTTTAAAACTTTTGTTTTGTTTGTATTAACATTTATTGCTACAGTTCAGAAAATAGCATTTCAACAGTGATAGTGGGATATATATATTCCACTATATGTATGCATGGACTTAGTTTTTGGAATGAAGAAATTTTTATATAACAACACATGTATATGGCCTAAACATTCATATTAACTGCATGCTATATATGAATATGAACCAAGTTTTGTTTTGGGCAGAAAAGGCAAGATGTTTCTCGATATTTTTTATTTTGCCATTTTGCACTTTCCCAGATGCATTTTATATTCTGTGTGAGCATGTTAGTTTCAGGATCAATGAAATTGTATTTGTGGCATATATTTAATAATGAATATAACCAGATTATTTCATTTCTTCAATCTTATACTCCTTTGAATTGTCCGAAAAAATTGTCAGTCCATTTTTAATGTTTTTTTTTTTTTTTTTAATTTTTTTAATTTTATTTTATTCATTACTACCAGCATTGTGATCAGGGAGCACAAGAAGAAATGTTTTATGTTTATGTCTTTGTGTTTTATAACAGATATCCCAGTATCCATTGTTAGGGGAGTATTATTCCAGCTTTGTTTTGAAGTTTTGTGACTATGCTTTCATCGACCTCCACAGTGAAATCTCTGCTGCCAGTTTTCTCATTTTTTTTTCCCCTTTTAAAGGCGTATATCTCCAATAGATGATTATTCCAATCAACAATAATTTTGTCTCCCATTCTTAGTTGCTTTTGGCTGAATTTGACCTAGGTTAGCTTGTTACACTATCAAAGCTGTTGTATATGGGTCCGTGACACTTAGCCAACGGGATACTTAACCGACACCAATTAGCCGACAGGACATTCAGCCAACAGGACTTTTAACCGACACGGACACATAGCCGACATGGACACTTAGCCGACAGGACATTTAGCCGACACAGACAGTTAGCCGACAATATATTTAACGTGATATTTAAAATGACGAGGAATTTGATTTAAATCATATCAAAGACGGAGTACATCGAGATGAAATACTACATTTAATAAGGCATTATAAGCCGGATAAAATAAAAACATTTGCCCTGAAGATAAGGATAGTGCTGACAGATCAATTTCCAGTTCATTGTGCGTTGCGGCGTCCCCCCCCCCCCCCGCTCCCGCAGAGCAGCGTGAAATTGATAAACAGATTTCGGAATGGTTAGAGAAGCAAAGGATATGCCTTTATCCATTTTTTGCAGCAACTCCACTTTTTGTTTAATGGACTTCGAAACATACTTTCGCTTTGTAGATCCTTTACATATTAGTAGATATATATCGGAAATTCTATTTGACATAATCGAAAGTTCAAGCTTACTTTTATAAAATTGCTCTAAGTCTGCAAAAAAATAATAAGCTCAATTGAATTCGAAGATAACAGTAATTTTTATTGCATTATTCAGATTTTTCATTACAGGGAAAGGAAATTTCATTAGTGGGAGGAGCCAAACGATATTGTAAGGAAAAGAATGTAACATGATGTGATGAGTAAAATAGTAATGAAACGTAGAAATTTGAAAGCATTAGGAAGAGCAAGATTGGAAAATTAATATCATTAAGTACACAAGAAAAATTATTAATGATGTGAAAGTGTTCAAAAGAACTCAGTTGATTAAATGAAGAAGCTTTACGGATCATTTTTGAAGATCAAATTAAAATGTTATTAAGTGACCTCTGTACTTAGCTAAAAAAATTATTTTTTCCTTTCGAAATTTAGTTCATATTCCCTAACGAGAAATTTCAGCGCTTTTTCAATTTGGCCAATGTACACAAAACAGCACGATACATATCAAGCAATGCTAAATTAACACAATAATTAAAAGGACATATGAGATCTTTAAGAATCGAAAACTGAATTTTACTGATAGTGAAAAAAATAACTTAAGTATTGAATTTATGGAGAAGTCGAGAAATTTTGTAATCCATAGTAAGTTTGAATAATTATTGGGTAAGTGTCAGCTAAACTTCACTGTCGGCTTAGTGTTGACTAAATGTCTTGACAGTTAAGTGTCCCGTAGCTAAATG